GAGGAGTGGCAGACAGGAAGACCAGTGACAACATGACAATCCCGGCGTTGATCACCGGAACACATGATAACAGATACACATATGTCTGATACCATCCAATTGATCCCAACAGTGATAGTGCAGAGTTCACGTCCATTACGCCAGACAAATGACAACTGATGTGAAAGTGATGTTAAAATGAATGCATAATTGGTTTCATAATCAATGAATTGTCAATGAATTCAAGTTTCGGTGACTTTTATATGAAATGATTGCAAACATTGCTTTCAATTGGCTGTCGATTGGCTTCAATGAGAGCTCATTGTCTGTATGAGTAGTCTATTAGCCATTGTATGGTTTGTTTAGACATTCAATATATCAGTGTTTATGTTAAGTACGGCTTAAATAAACTCATTTCCAATCACTGTTTGCTTGCAATGGATGAGCAGTTAGTGTTTGTTTACATTACTGTTCACCACATATGACGTCATGTGTTGTCAATGCTATGCACGTACTCTACACTTACATTGATTTTGTATTGACAACAGAATATTCTGTGCAGAATCTAATAAATAAATGTAGCATGTACAAATTATGAGGAATATTTTACTTAATAAAATATTATTAATGTTATCTTATATTTATATTTAGCCAATAATTTAACCTAATCTTGTTTGTTTAAATTAAATTAATATGACATGATCATTTTTCCTGTTTAATGCAGTTCAATGCAAGTCCAATTCAATGTTAATTTTATAAAATATATTAAATATTTAATTTATTTAATACATACAAATTAAAATTATTCTGTATAGTGGTTTCATATATTTTTATTTGTAAAACTTAAAAGTAAAGTAATTGTAATTTACATTTTTAATAATAGAGAATGGGAATAGGGGCTTTTGGTATATGAACCTAAAAATAAGTTATAAAACTATCAAAAAATTAATTCAATCTAAAATGATATCTAAGATTTTAATTATAATAAACATTATCATATTTTGTAAGTTTGTGTGTTTTATCGATTGTTTTGAACTTTTCAGTTTAGATCCTGATATTGACCGCAATTCGGTAAATAATTGTAAAAACATTTGATTAATGAATAAATATGTCAACACTTTTAGACACAACTCATAGAATCGCGAGGATTCATATCACAGACACACGAAGTGATCACTAAAGATGGATATATCCTAACATTATTTCGTATAATTAATCCCAATTNCATTGAATTGGACTTGCATTGAACTGCATTAAACAGGAAAAATGATCATGTCATTTTAATTTAATTTAAACAAACAAGATTAGGTTAATTTATTGGCTAAATATAAATATAAGATAACATTAAAAATATTTTATTAAGTAAAATATTCCTCATTATTTGTACATGCTACATTTATTTATTAGATTCTGCACAGAATATTCTGTTGTCAATACAAAATCAATGCAAGTGTAGAGTACGTGCATAGCATTGACAACACATGACGTCATATGTGGTGTAAGTAATGTAAACAAACACTAACTGCTCATCCATTGCAAGCAAACAGTGATTGGAAATGAGTTTATTTAAGCCGTACTTAACATAAACACTGATATATTGAATGTCTAAACAAAGCATACAATGAATGGCTAATAGACTACTCATACAGACAATGAGCTCTCATTGAAGCCAATCGACAGCCAATTGAAAGCAATGTTTGCAATCATTTCATATAAAAGTCACCGAAACTTCAATTCATTGACAATTCATTGATTATGAAACCAATTATGCATTCATTTTAACATCACTTTCACATCAGTTGTCATTTGTCTGGCGTAATGGACGTCAACTCTGCACTATCACTGTTGGGATCAATTGGATGGTATCAGACATATGTGTATCTGTTATCATGTGTTCCGGTGATCAACGCCGGGATTGTCATGTTGTCACTGGTCTTCCTGTCTGCCACTCCTCATCACAGGTACCACTCATTTATCATACCATATGTCCATCACTTGTGTCCATCATTTCAGATGTTTTGTTCCCAACTGTGATCCCAATGGACTGAACGCCAACTTCTTTGACACGTTTTTGTCTCAATCCATACCAAAAGTCTTCGGTTCTGTTGTGTCCTATGAATCGTGTAATCGTTTTAAACAAATCAATGACTCAATCATTAGAAGTGATGCCAAAGATGTTTGTGATATAAACCGGTTTACAAACCAAACAGAAAGTTGTGATCACTTTGTCTTTGATAGAAAGCAGTTCCAGTCCACTGTTGTCACTGAGGTTCACACCTTTTACTCACTTTTGCCATAAAGTTATCTAATGAATGAATGATTACTTAAATAGTTTAATAAAGTTTGTGACAAATCATGGGAAATGTCGTTATGTCAGTCCATCTTCTATTTGGGAGTCCTTTCCGGTGCTTTCATTTTCGGTGTATTAGCGGATCGGTATGTGTCGGCAATAGATTTGTTACAGTTTTTCATTCATGTCTTAACCAATAGCTATGGGCGTCGGTCTGTGTTTATGGCGGCGCCTATTCTCGGCTTTTCGAGTGCAGTGTTGTCGTCATTTGCGCCCAACTTCTTAATATTCTGCAGCAGTTCTGCGGTGACGGCCGCCTGTATTGCAGGCATGTATCAGACGGCCTTCATTATAGGTATGGCCTCTAAATGTCTTTATATTTGATATACAGTATACTTGATATGTGTGAACAGGTATTGAGTTCATTGGTGGCCAGTGGCGAGTCTGGTGCGGAAACATACATTCAATTCTGTTCGCTGTGGGCGCCGCCGTCCTATGCCTTATGGCTTATTATGTGCGCGATTGGAGACAATTGCAGTTTGTTATCGCACTTCCAGTAGCGTTCACTCTCTCCTATCCCTGGTATGTCACCACATATTCATTCATATTATCAGTCATTCATTTCACAGATTATGTATTTGTATTGATGTTAAGGCTGTTCCCTGAGTCGGTTCGTTGGCAGGTCTCCAATGGACAGACATCTAAAGCAATTAAGACAATCAAAAGAGCTGCCAAATGGAACAGAGTTTACATTCCAGAGGAATATCTGTACACTTGTGAAGACGTGAGTGATTATCTGTTTATTTAATCATTCTCTCAATTATCTTGTTTTTGTGTACTTTTTGGGAAGACTTCCTCTTAATTTGTTGCCGTTTTACGTAATTTTATGTCAATATGTACTGAACTGCATATTAATCTCATTAATATGTGTGACATTGACTCCAATTAATACATAGAACTCATTGAATTAAAAGTGAATTGAATCACTCGTTGACAATATCTAATGCAAACATTTGCCAATCATATGTTTTCAATGATAAGTCTGTTTTCTTACTGGTCTCACATCCCATCCATTGATTCCATCCCTCGTATGAATATCGACTGATTTATCCGCAGTTTATGTTATTTATAATAAAGTAAAATATTCTCAGGAAATACTGGTGCAGTAAACAAGTTTGTTTTAAAAATTATTTGTTTAACTAAACTTATGTTTTGTTACAAATAAACTCAATCAAAAGTCTTACAGACAAACATTAAATAAACAATCAATTGCATGGAAACACTAAATATGCCATCGATTAAATACAAAAACAAAAATTGATTTCCTATATAAAGTAAAGTTTATTTAAAATGTAATATACTGTACTGGTACTTTTCATATTCTAATACGGTAGCCATGGCCAACCAGTACATCTCGGACATGTGAACCAATAAGACATTTCGGACCATTAGATATACTAAAGCACCACATTATCCGTGTCTGGGCTCTCAATCTATTCTTCATTTGGTATGACATGAATGAGTTGTTGACAACAATCCTATAACTAATTGTTGACTACAGGTTCACCACATCACTGGTCTATTATGGGCTCTCATTTCAGGCACAAAACATTGGATCCGATATTTACGTGACGTTTG